CGTATCGCATTGAAATGCACTGTATCGTATTGTATCGTATCGGATTTTATTACATACTTATTAATACATACGGGGGATTTGTATATGCGATACGACTCAATTACTCTTACCCATATCAGCCCTCGCCGTATATCACACCCCAAAACCCGTATCAGCCCCGCCGTATCACACCCCAAAACCCGTATCAGCCCTCTCCGTATCAGCCCGCAAAACCCGTATCACACCCCTTTTTGACATGTTTCGTTTTTCAATATTTCAAAAGAAAAATAGATCATAAGATAGTAATTTTTATTAGTAAGTATGTAATAAACAGAATAAAACACGCATTTTTCCATTTCACACCCACTATCAACCCTCGACCAATATCAGCCTTCGGGCTAATATTGCAGTTTCGGGTTGATACTGGGTGTGATATGGAAAAAGGCATGTATCATTCTCTATATATCATGTTTTCAACTTGTTTATTTCGCATTGTATTCATTTCCTATCGAGTATTACATTTGTTACATTCTGAGTTCCTAATTTTTGCAATATTTAGCATTTGTCTGAGTTCATATATCATGAACTATCAATAACAATAAAACATCATCACTTTCATTGATTTATTTTCCGGAATGTCGGATCTCGTTTCCTTGGTAATAGATTGGTATGTATTATTAAAACATGCTCAATCATTCTCATAAACAATGGTATACCAATGCTACGGGTCACAGCGATACAGCCTTTACGCCAGAGGAAGCTTTGAATACCCATCAGAACAGTCATGCGATACAGTTGTTCTAAGCGAAGGAGAAAAGACATTTCTCATAATGTTGTTGAAGTTCTTTTTTATGATGACAAAGTGTTCCGTGGGAATAATTACATGATCTTTCGTAAATTTATTTCTTTTCTTTCGGAGCCGTAAACATTGCAACAACAAAACTTTAACCCGTAAAATTCTTCAAATAAGGCACAGTGAAATAAAACAACTCGTTTAGCTAGTTTTAACAATTCTTTGTAACAATAAAGACAGCTCAGTTGTATCACTTGTATCTTCCTGATAGAAACTGACACGCGATATATTGTCTATTCGTATAACGAGTGATAGGATGCTGCGCGCGATCCATCCGCGTTGGTGAGCTTGGAAATTTCCATCTCATCTAGTCTATACGATATATGTAGATCACACCTGTCCGGGTCTAACAGTCAATTTGTTTTTCATACGTGTATCAAAGTGATAAGATAAGGCGTTAGATAATTAATTTCTGATATATTTCTGGCCAAGATTCCTCACATAACAGACAACAACCAATGGTAAACCTTGTCAACAAACGGCAAGCATTATCAGGCAGGACAATGATTCGACTCACGTTTTTGTACATGTACTACGATACTACCGGGGTCATAGGGTACAAACCAGTTATACACGATTTGGTTTGGTTTGGTTTGTTTGTGGTTTACGTCCTATTAGCACCTATGGTCATTTAAGGACGTGCCAGGTTTTGTTGGTGGAGGAAAAGTCGGAAAAAAACCCATCGACCTGCATGCGGCAAGTACATGTACTTTCGACTGTCCCGCGTTGGTAACGAACCCGCGACCCAGAGGTGGAGGACTAGTGGTCATCAAGTAATAGACATACATTTTATCAGTACAAGCCTCCCTCTTTGTCTCTTATAGGAGTGGTTGATGACGATGATATTGATGATTATAACGATGAATGTGATGACAATGATAATTTCGATAAAGTTGATGTTGCTGAGTTGTGAAGAATGTGCCAGTAAGAATAAAGTCACTGTTTCTTGCTGTGCACTTACGGAAATAAGTTGAAAATGACTGTAACCTATACATGAACTGTCATCAGGTCACCGTATACGACTCTACAACAGAATGCAGCAGACCGATTCACTGAAGATAGTAAATCGTTAGTGAACAAACAAAGATGGCTACCTCAAGTTGACTGGGGGATGTCTCGGTGAAGTAGATCCTTGACAAACTGGTACAGATCGCTTACGGGTCTTACAGTATCACGTCATATCCGCTTTAAGATCAATATTACAATTACTTCTAAAACCTCGAACTGTCAAGGTCATGTCTTACTGATGATGACGAAATTGTGTGTGTCGTTTTATTACCGCTGTGCAAAGGTCAAAGTCGTTGTTTGTTAGTGATGACGATTTCTTTTTCTCTTCAAGTTGAAGATTTCCATGTCTAATCTTATCTCCTCTGTGTATCAAACTACAACGTAAATACGATACTCAAGTGCCAATAACATTAGCGGCGAATTCCAAATATGTTTTGCATCTTAGCAGCCTGGTACATTGTAAGGTTGAGTACTGTATTCGTTTCGCGACAACATTTCCCATTATTCGTTGCCTCTGTTTAATATCTCTATATAGTTATCCCATTAATTGGGTTGAAGGGCATTCATTTTGTTTTTGCAAAGAGATGCTTTTTTCAATATATGTGAAAGATTTTTTTTTAATTAAATCTCTTAATGAAACACAGACAATAACGAAATATTGTCTTTTAGCATTGTTGTCTCTTTGACCTAATTTAGATAATTGCTTTGATAATAATTTAAGTGTTTAAAACTTCAGGTCGTCGTTTCACAATAGTACACGTATCACATAAATAAACACGCATCTCAAATTCATAGAGACAGTAAACTCACCTCGACGCTTTAAATTACAAGTGAATGATGCATTCTTGGCTGATTTCCGGTTTTTCATTTCTGTTAGTTTCGTACTTTTATCACAGTATTTTGTAGTTTTGAGGTCTCCTTTCAAACATGCGTTTTGAGCTGGATTCTTAAGTAATTGTTAGGAAAACAACGTACAAAGATGCGCTTGTTTTTGTGAGATGCAAGCCATACTGTTGATAAGGAGTTTAAAATGCGTCAAGATTTATCCCCCCTGATGTTTTCGTATTTCACTGTGTAGATTGATGCTTTCTTTTTCTCTTGGTGTCATTTTCAAACATAAGAACGGCGTAGGTCGCTTTGAAATCATTTCGACAAATAATTCTGTTCACTTTAAGGTATTGATGCAAATAAACAGCATCACACTTGATTTATATATGCAACAAGTGTACGTTTACACATATAGCTTTAAAGAAATCTGTAGTAATCTAAACATCTAAGTATTACAACATTTTGTATCGAACTCTGGTTTATCATTAATGCATCTCTGAGCAATTTTCATACGGGGTTTGGCTCGTGTGCACGTGCAGTTCTGTATAAATATAATAACGATAAGATTTCAAGATTTTGTTAAGATACATGTAGTTGTCTCGAGGTTATTATTCTTGCACCCGAGAGCAGCATTTAGAGAAGTTTGGACCCTCGATCACGTACAGCACGCGCGGTTATATATGAAGTGTTGATTAGATTTTAAGGAGGTGTTATGGAGATACGCCTACACGAAAGTAGCACAGCTTCTAACACAAGCTGGTCTGGTGTAATTTTAGCAGCTCGGGCTGAGGGATAAACAACAGCCCTAGGACAGCTTAATGAAGAGGCGAAAAGGCACCCGGATATACTAAATAAACGATTTTGTGAAATGAATGTTCTGGTGCTGCCAAAGAAGAAAAACGGTTACATTGTGGTGTTTTGTTTATGGTTTATTAGCTCTAGAAATAACTGACAAATTGCAGTGAGGCTACTGGGGCGACAGTTAAAGTATAGATCTTGATAATGAGTTTACAATTGTGTTATAGAAACGAACGGAACGTGAACACCGGTCGACATTTTCTCATTTGTAAGCCGTACTCAGGAGTACCGGAAACCGGTATTAAATATGTATTATTCTAAAGGGGTTTTGCGATATTACAGCACGACAGACTTGCTCATGCCCGTATTTCGCGAAAACAGCGCATCAATACAAATAAGTTTTAACAATGGTACTCGTCATCTGTAATATAAACAGTCTCTAGAACTGAGGAGAGTGGTCTTGCTGACAGTATAGGGTATGGGCTTTGCAGCTAACAATGTTTAAATCGAGTTTTCTATTTGAAGCTATGCGTATTTTGTTCATGTAAAAATATAAGCTGTCACCTTGAGACTTTTCTATATGCACATGTCTATGGATGTATTTCACTGTGTTTCACTGTTTTGCCTTCAAACTTTTTTTTTTTTTTAAATATTTTTTTTTGTAATATAAACAGAATTGGTGACCTTTGTTTAAGCGTTATCAATTCACTTTCACCTTAAATGCTCCCCTTGTAGAATACTTGAATATTGACACAACAGGGTTGATACGTTGTAGGTAAAATTGACTTTGATCAGAGTTATACATGAAGTTCAAATCTCAAATTGTAAACACGCGATCAGCTGCCCCCTCATCTGAGTGCTTTTTGTTTTGATTATAGTTTTGATTATTGTTTTGTTTTGATTCCGCGCAATGATTCTGGTATTGTCGTACATTTGTTAGCTTTGCAGCAAAGTTCCAGGTTTTAAAACGTAAAATACGCATTTTCCAAGCAATTTGATTGGGAAAACATAATTCATTGAAAAATAAAATGTAAGCAGTAAGATTAATTTCGTGTGATACACGAAACATGTCGAAGTAAGTGTGGAAGGTACATAATTTTCATCGAGATGTTTCTTCATCAAAGCTATCAATATATTTTGAAATCAGGGATAACGGTGCACTTTTTATTGAATCCAGTTTATAACCATCTGAAGTTATACAGGCACTTGTGTGACGAACTTGTCGTAAATTCTTTTTTTCCCCAAATAGTAAACATTTTTTTTTGTCCAAAGATGTAATTCTTTAAGTTACGAACATTCATGAAACCGGGGCCAGTAAAAGTATTGTCTCCTTAGAAGCATGTTGACAGGAAAGACGGCCATTTAATATAACTTTTTCCTTTTCAAATTTACTGTGGAATTTGTGTTCCGATATACAGATGTCCCGGTATATAAGGTGAAAATGAACTTACTGCATGTACTAAATATATATTAAGTACATAACTAGAATGTTATCTGAATTATGAATATTGCTAATCTGGATTTTCTTCTACAGACAGGAAGCTGGTTTGGAAATGGACGGACACTTCCTCGTCCGGATGGTATACGAAGATGGTTGCACATATGATCTCGTTGGCGCAGCAGTCAAGGTGCTCGGTACGTTTGCAGTGCTTAAAAACTATTATATCAGGATATTCCGTGATAAAATATAATATGTCACAATCATTCACACGCTTGTGATATACTTGAACGTCTCGTGACAGACTGGGGTATATCAGTTCGTTTGTGTCTGTAACACGTTATAATCAATTATTTGTACCATTTGTTACGCAATATACAATATATCACTTCTTCTGTGAGAGAAAATTTCCCGTACAACACACAATAATTTGCCTTCCAGTCAATTTACCAATCATGTCTACGACATTTGAAAAAAAAATGTATAATTTATAATACAAGTAAGGTAATGGGATACCCAGACATTCCATTAGACGCCAAACCACAGCCTACCTGTATATACAAATGTATATTGTTTGCAGATAATGGCATGGTACATCTTTATATCACATGATACGAAGTGTATGCGTTTACAACCCTGGTTATCATTAGTCTGGGGGCCTCGGGGGCCAATGGGTTAAGGCGTCTGACATCCTGCTACCACTAGCCCTTCACAACTGGGTCGCGGGTTCGAGACCTACGTAGGACAGTCGCCAGGTACTGACCGTCGGTCGAACCTTTTTCTCCGGGAACTCTGGCTTTCTCCACCCCCCAAAAAATTGGCACGTCCTTAAATGACCAAAGCTATTAATAGGACGTGAAACACATACAAACAAACAAACAAACAAACAAACAAAAGTCTGGTAGAAGCTACTAAGGCATACTTATATATGACATGTATCGCCGTCCCGTCTGAATCATGTTTGTTGGTATAACGCTATGGTAATATCACATCCCGAACCCTGTTGTCTCGTGTCTGATGACATAACCTTATTAGCACGCGCCTAATGATAATTGCATCTACAAATTAACAAGAAATCATCCCAAATCTTATCAACATGTGTATAGGTATAGTGAAGAGTCGTAACATGATAATACGATATTAAACTCATAAGACACTTATCAAACCTATATGTACAAGTGTCTAACGATATGTCGCTTAGATACCAAGACGCGTCCTCAACATAAAGGTACAAGTGTCTATTGATTTGACGCTAATATAACAAGACATGTGTTAGCCTCTAGGTACAAGTGTCTGATGATATGACGCCCCAACAACAAGACACGTCTCATCTCCTATCGACAAGTGTCTGAAGATATCACTCTTATCCATCAAGACACGTCTAATTATCTATTGACACATGTCTGAAGAGAAGGAGCACTCGTATCCAACAAGACATGTCTAATTATCTATTGACCCATGTCTTAAGATATCACTCTTATCCAACAAGACATGTCTAATTATCTATTGACACATGTCTGAAGATATCACTCTTATCAAACAAGACACGTCTAATTATCTATTGAAACATGTCTTAAGATATCACTCTTATCAAACAAGACATGTCTAATTATCTATTGACACATGTCTGAAGATATCACTCTAATCAAACAAGACACGTCTAATTATCTATTGAAACATGTCTTAAGATATCCCTCTTATCAAACAAGACATGTCTAATTATCTATTGACACATGTGTGAAGATATCACTCTTATCAAACAAGACACGTCTAATTATATATTGACGCATTTGAAGATATAAATCTTCTCCAACAAGACACGTCTGATTATCTATGGACACATGTCTGAAGATATGAATCTTATCCAACAAGACATTTCTAATTATCTATTGACACATGTCTGAAGATATGACTCTTATCCAACAAGACACGTCTGATTATCTATGGACACATGTCTGAAGATATGGCTCTTATCCAACAAGAGATGTCTAATTATTTATTGACACATGTCTGAAGATATGGCTCTTATCCAACAAGACGCGTCTTATTATCTATTGACAAGTGTATGAAGTTAAGATACGTCCCCATTGCTATTTACACGCACATAATCAGACGCTTAATAAGACACGTTCCTACCGTCATCTACATATTTTGGACGCTAGAGTGACCAGACATTTGAGCCAACCTCCCCTTTAGATTTCAGTCGGACTCCCTTCATCTTCGTGCAGAAGTTAAATGTATCAATCAGGACCAAAGATTTTCAGTATTGTCAGACAAATGTTTTCCCAGGCCCGTGTAGACATGACAATCAATGAACCGCAATAAGATTTTACGGTGCCGAGTTATCAGAAAGTGCTAGAGAGCCTTTGTTACTCCAATACACTAATGTAGCGCCCTACTGATTCGTTGTAGGAATCACTCAGATTGTTATCTGGTAAATAAACCGAGAATGTAGGCCACCGATGTCACGATTGTGTAAATCTTCTGTACCAGTACATCGTCTTTACATGATAAATGATACGCTTAGAGTGTGTCACCGCCAGATGTATGGCATTTTAAGTGAGTCAGGTCACATACGATGACATATCTTACCCTCCTTTCCCCAGTTACTGTAAAACATTTAAACATGAACACAGAAAAAAAGATCGTTTTAGATTATTGACCTAGCAAGTGTATAAAATAAAATAAATAAAAGATTTAACGTGTTTTTTTTAAACTAACCAATATTTCCCTTTTTCGTATCTGTCGACACGTCAATATATACAGCTCGAAATGCAGTGCCAAAAGTAAGGGCATATGTAGATGACGGCGGGAACGTGTCTTTATAAACTAAGGAGGAAAAATACGTCAGTCCGCACCAAAGGACAAATTATACCATAGCGTCAACACTCAAGCGAAAAAGATACTACAATGTTGACACAATGCTGCAAAGGGCAAAATATGTCACAACATCAAGACACAGGAACAGAATATATGTCAGCGTCGACACAAACGGACGCCCTATACCACAGCATCAACACCAGAAGGAAGAGCAACACAAACCAATGTCAAGAGAACAAGAGAATAACAAATCATGAGAACTCCCGAACATACTATATAGCGCTTTAAACTCGCGGGTCATAATTTCGCGGTTTCGCATTCAGTACATATTCGCGTGGGTTAAATTTCGCTTCGTGCACCCGAACTCCATATGTCGTGCAAAGTACTTTGAGTGTTATCATTTAAGGGTTAAACCTCGAAATACAGTTAAACCGTTTAAAAACACCGATCCCGAGCGTCGTCATCCGCCAGTGACGTCACTGGAAAGAAAATCAAATGTGTTTGTACCGTTGTAGGAGTAAACTGTCATCAATTAATCACCTATTGTGTACACGTGAATATGCTGTGGCCACTTATATGTAAGTGTTGTTTTTACATGGACTGCCCAGTTGCCCGATGACAATCTGATATGAGTTCATTTAAGCTTGCATAACAGCGTTGCGTATTTTCAACATGTTGTGATAAGGTCCGTAAAAGTGGTTAACATTTTCGATAATTTCGCTGGTGTTTAGAATTCGCGGATATTAGTCAAGGCGCGAATATAGCGAAAATAAAACCCCCGCGAAATATCAGTACGAACTTCATTATTACAATTTAATTAAGCTACAGTAGTTATAAATGTAGTTTGCCCACTTTTGTACAATGTAGAGCAGGTCAATAACATATTTTTATCAAGACAATTTTCTGTTATTTCTATAAAATCTAAAGTAGGAGACGAAACCAAGTTGTATTAGCTAGTTCCATTTTTTAAATAGCCTACGAAATAGTTTTGCATTGTAAATCGGGACAAGTTCGAAAGGAAGTGTGACGTTATTTTTCGTTAAAAACCGTGGTAGTTTATTTGTCCCATCAATTGACAAATATTCGAACAATGCCTGTGTATAGCCATTTGAAACTTAATATAAATCTATGTTTTTCGTCAGTTTAGGTTGATAGGTTGAAAGCATGAATCTCACTATACATCTAACATATGTAGACTGGCCACCGTCTCTAGAATATTGAATAACTAAGAAAACAATTTTAACTCTAAACAATTTGATCACTTGGATGTCTGATTCTAGATTATAAGTTATAAACTAGGGGGAGATAAGCTAGTAGTAAAATGCAGCCGAGGAATTCTTCATAAAAACTAAGGACCTGGTAGCCAGTATAATAACATATGGTGTAAAAGTTAAACTTTTTTGAATATTTATTTCAGTTATCTCCGAAATGACATTTAAAGATAAAGTGGAAAAGATGATAAACTCTCATTGAAGCTGAACTCATTCACCCCTGAAGACACATTTGAACTCTTCTTATTCAATGGTTTGAATAGTCCATTATGAAATTTCAGGGTGAATTAGTTGGTCAAGCCGACCAGACCCATATCACTCATATTTCCCTGATGTCCGATGTTAAACAGACAATCTAGACCTTTATCCCATGGAAGTTGACCCAGCAAATAACACCGATGCCCTCACATTCCACACCCTATTTCTCACGCGGTAGTAAATTGATTTCCACGTGGTTTTATCGTACCGGAAGTTCAAACCAACTCCAATCATCTTAATACAAATACTTCGTATCATATGAACCGCGTTCCCATCCAATGAAACCGCCATAAGTCGGCAATATAACTTTAACACATTAGGATTTTTATGAGTCTCCATTTATTCATTAAAGACGTTCCGTTTTCTTTTCTCCAGCTGTACGATAGAGATAACAAGATTTGTCACAATTTCTTCCAAGGGAATTTTGTTACGGAGCGCAAATTATTACAGTTCTTCCCAAAAAAAGTGCTGTAATTTTAAAATGTCGACGAAGTGTTCCGTGTGATGAGCAAAGCTGATATAGACTTGGCCTTTTTGTTCGTTATAAGATATCTAGCCATTTCTGTTTCCGTAAACATTGTCAAGGACGGCTAACCGATATTGAAGCAGACCCCGACGATTTTCTTGTCTTTCTACTGACTTTGTTAATCAATCTATCAATGACAAGAGGGTTTTTATAGAAGCTCTGAAGCTTTACAGAAGCACTAGAAAATATTACCATAAACCATCTCAGTCATTAGATTAAATCCTGTAATCCGTTATTGTCGGTTAATGATTTTATCCCGGGAGTAAAAGGGACGTTTCAAGCGTGGCTCGCAGGCGCAACACATGTTTTTAAAACGCACTGACGTAGTGATGCTCTGAACTTATAATTATGATTTCTAAGCAATTAAGGGGTGCAGAGCTAGGAGGTTCATTCTCAGGGATAGAAATGTTAACACGAGCTCAACCCATTTAAGGCAATCCAACTCGGAACGTTTTGATAGTCCAGGAGGTTGACAATAATGGTCCATAAGGTCGCTAACAAATAGCTGTAATGATAGTACCTTTACGTGCCCGAGTTTCCTTTCGCTCTAACACCATACTTTTGACATAAAGATGCGAGTTATGATGGTCCTTCTGTGTGCCGAGCCTCCTTTGGCCCCAACACCATATTTTGAACATAAAGATGTGTGCTATGATGGTCCATCTGTGTGCGGAGGTTCCTTTGGCCCCAACACCATACTTTGGACATATATGTGTGTTACCTAATGAATCAAAACCAGTAGGCATATCAAGATGTATACAATCAGAGGCAAGCAAAACATGGAAATATTATTTCAGTGTTTTATATGACTTACAATGTCAGTATTCAATATTTTTCAGACACACCTGCTAATACAATTCTGGAGATGTTCGGCAAGATGTTCTTCGAATTCTGTCAGGAATCAGGGTATGATAAGATTCTGCAAGTCCTTGGTGGAACCACGAAAGATTTTCTTCAAAACCTAGACGCCCTCCACGACCATCTTGCTACAATATATCCAGGCATGCGCGCTCCATCCTTCCGGTGTACAGAGCGGGAAAGTGACGGTGCTACCATTCTACACTACTATTCCGACAGACCGGGTTTGGAGCACATCGTCAAGGGTATAGTGAGGACAGTTGCTAAGCAACTACATCAGGCGGAAGTACAGGTTGATATCCTAAAAGAAAAGAGTGAAGATTGTGATCACGTGCAGTTTGTTATTACTGATGATGCTTCACAAGACCTGGTCACTAAAGCCGAATTAAACGAATTCGAACATAGTCTTTCTCATGAAAAGAAGATTAGCCCAGCTACGTTCAGTCGGGCATTCCCCTTTCATATTTTGTTTGACCGGAAGATGGAAATCCAGCAGGTTGGAAGTTCCCTGCTCAGAGTGATCCCCAACACAACCAAGAAAGGTGTCAAAATTGACGACCTTTTCGAGATGGTCCGACCACATATGGATTTTGAATTCGATCATATTTTGTCTCATATCAACACCGTTTTTGTGTTAAGGGTCAATGAGAACGTGTCAGGAGGAGGACTCTTTGTAGACAAAGATGAAAACTCACGCATGCGTCTAAAGGGTCAAATGATCTACGTGCCAGAATCAGACTATCTGTTGTTCATGTGTTCACCTAGTGTTGCTAATCTGGACGACCTTGGAAGGAGGGGACTGTACATCAGCGATATCCCTCTCCATGATGCCACTCGAGATCTGGTGTTGCTTTCCGAGCAGTTCGCCGCCGGGTACAAACTCACTCAGAAGCTGGAAATTCTCAACGATCAGCTACAGCAGACGCACAGAGAACTGGAGCACGAAAAGAAGGAAACGGACAGGTAATGAGTATATAGGATCAATACCTCCCCCCTCCCCCCGACCTCCCCCCGCTTAACACATACACACATCCTCTAACACATCTAAGTCCACTTGCTTGTTCTCAGTTAAAACTCATCGATTTGAGAAAGGGAAAAAGAAATATCCCAATATATTTCCTCGTTTGTAGCACCTTGCTTGCTGTCTTCGTTTTGTATTCATCGGACAGGTAGGAGACAGTGTTCCAATGGATATATTTCAGTTACAATCAATCAAATGTTAAGCGTGTCTGATGTGATTCAATTGTCCCATTTGTCTTCCATTCGCTGACATTGCCTAAATGGACAATTGTCACCACGCTGTATTCTTTGTTTCTGGTACTAACTTTTGGTTATATTTCATGCGTCGGCGTTGAAGAGCACAGCAAATAAATTCCTTCACTTGTAATATTACATGTATATGTACTCAAACAGCAGTCCATGACCTCCACTTCAGGTTCGTTCTCTCTGCTCTTCCCATCGGGTTTCATAATCATGAATTAATTTTGAAATATGTCCGAAATGTTGGTTCACCTTTGAAAGCTCACTATCAAAATGTGATTTCATAAAAGTTTATATGTACCAGTTGCTAATATGGAGCGAGTTGCAAGAAAAAAAATATGTTCTTTCAATATTAGAAATTTTAGACTTTCTAAAACTACAACCTCTTGAGGCAGTGACCGTAAGTCCAGTGTAACGTATCATTATCATGGAATTATACATACCCAATCCGTATGGAACTGATGAATGTGCAGTATTTACTTAAATACAGTTATATTTGCAGAAAGTTTAATTTTGAAAATTTCGCAGCTAGGGTGAATACCCAGATACAAGATGACAGCGAACTATTCCAATTGAGTGATTCTCGCCAGCACAAATTAAAAACAGAACGTATATACTGATCATCTCGAAATCAAAACAAGAATGTTTTGAAATAATAGTTTCAGAATTATGATAAAGGTATCGAGCAATGTCTGCTGTGTATTGCCTGTATGTTTGTTTGTAGTAACAGATAGGAACCCATCCGTACTGTGTAATGACACAGTAGACTGCCAATTTAAGACTCGGCTAGGCGCTCTACAACCGCGTCTAAACGGTTAGATAATCTCGGTAGTCGGACAGGACAATTTGTTCGCCAAAGGCTGCTTCATGACAGAACAGATTTGTTTACCTCAGAGCAGGTCTGCGTTCACTGTTTGCTGCTGTGAGTGTGATGGATAAGATGAGAGGAGTGATTCCTTAACCCTTTCACCTTTATGTAACTTTAGTAGACTCTACCATGCATTGATATGGACGAGTCCAATGTGGTCTACAGTGGTGATAGGGTTAAAGACTATCAACTGGTCTTTTGTCGTCCTTGGTCTGCCAAGTTTTGTCAACCTCAGTGATTGTTTCGAGAGAAGCAAAAAGACGATTTTCGTAGATTTCGTTCAAGTTTTCCCATTCAAAAACTGGAGAGAAAAAAAAACCCCGAAAATTATTAATGAATAAATGAATGTCATCAAATTGCAAACAATAAACAGAATTGTGAATGTATCTGAATGGAAATTAATCTCCGGATTTTATTAGTCATCATTTACTATAAATCATTTTTTTTTTTTTTTTTTTTTCAGTTTTGATCTCTGTAGTAAAGCAATTTAATGATATAAAAAACCCTGAGAATTGTTTAATTTCATCTTCTACCTGCAGTTAACATGATCCCATCTAATGGAATAATGTGTTGTAATTAATTTTAGTCGACGTATTGGCATAACATTTCACCACTAACACCATCATTACTTAGTTAATTATTTCGTTTCGTCGGGAAAATAACTTTGTCTTTGTCTGATCCAGTAATTTGATATTTCCTAAACATTCGTTTGATGATTTGCTTATACTATTTCTTCTAGCTAACGAAAGACCATGTGATCGATACTCTCAATTTTAATCTTTGTATCGTACCTCAAGAGTGTTATTGTTTTTTGCGTGACCCAGACAGCGCGCGCCTTACGCGTCACAAACATGCTCGAGTGTTTACCAGAACGCGTCAAATGTCTGAGGCGGAACAAATAGCAACAATCTTATTACGTCTTTATTTGTTGTGGTGGAATAGCGAGACCTTGGACCTGCCATCAGTATTGACTGGTGTTGATGTGTGTAGCTAGGTGTATTACCCGTGTAGTACAGCTATATTCGAGACGGTCACGTCCTGAAAGTAGATCTCTGGGGATTTTACTCTGCCTATTCCCTAGCGTTTTATGGTGCCCGTCTCTGTCGTGTATCTCTCAGATTATTAAGTAATTAGTCCAACTTGTTAAACCTATCTGCATGTATTTACAATGTCGGCTTTTTGACCGTGTCCTATAATTTTTTTCTACTGAAGACCACTGGTGGTAATGGCGGTCCTTCTAACAGTGGCGTTGATACCTTCTCTATATGATTCCAATTTACCAGATAATTTCGGGCATTAAGTTTCCTTAATGCAGTAATTTGAATGAATATGGTCAATAACTGACAATTATGGGAATACGGGCGAAACCCAAGTGTTTTATTTTGTGAGTAGCTGCCTGTTCCTAATTTACGTTAGTTGTTTTACAACGCCGTAATGAGCTCTCTGTTTGCCATGACATTCTTCCAGACAAAACGCCCAAACTTCAATCTAATTTCAACATTCAACATTCAACATTCCTTACTTTATACCGTGAAACTTTCGCCGCAGTTTAACTTCCGCCCCTTTCGCCTTCCGATCTGAGGGCGAATTTAACATGACGGCGAAAGTTTAAAAAGAAATTACGTATATACCGTATGTGATGCAATTGGGGTCCAGTGTGTCCGGCGGTGTAGGGTGAATTGAACACTGGGCGAATAAGGACTCTGCCGGTGAAGGGTGAAAGTTTAACGGAGCGAAAGTCTCCCGGTATTCAGTATATACATTTCCTTTGTTTGAAATGTTTGATTTCTTTATCAGAACAGAAATAAAAAAGAAAAAAATCTCAACAAAAACCCATCTTGGTGAAAATCAATATAAATCATATATGTATACTGACCATATTTAAATTGTAATATCTCATATGACCCCTACCCTTCCAGAAATACGGGAAGTATTCTCTTTATGTACCTTATCCATAATCTCCTTGTATATCTTCCCTTCGTGTATATTAATTTTCTCTCGTTTCGAATTTAGAGTAAGAATTATGTTTTTGTTGACTTTTCGTTATTTTTGTTCTCCTTTTTATTTTCCTCTAATGATACATTTTATAACCCATTCTCAAATGTATCAACTTGAAGACAATGGCTTTTGTACCCTTTTAAGACATAAACTACTCAAAGTTCATATCTCTCCAGCAATATTGGTTTATGTCTAATTGATAAAAACAGTATAAACCAAGTTATCTGTACCTTAGTTATTTGTGTTTTCGACCTATGACTGCTTTCCCTAAACTAATATATCCACTTTCAAAGTTGGCGTGTTGTGCTGATTTGTAGCTATTTTAAGTCCGAAATTTACGTAATGGCAGTTTTTGCAAGTTTCATTTTTAAAATAACACCAGCAATGGCTTCAAAGCCTGTTATCATTTTCTATGTATTTGCTCCTCTTACTAAAAATGCCGTTGGTTTTGGTAAGATTTATTGACAAATGTGTCAGGCTCTAATGGTAAAAACCTCTTCTTCTTATGCAATTTCGACTTAACAGTAAAAATGGTAAAGTACACGATTCTGAACAACAAACTATTTCTGTATCTTTGTTTTTTAGGTCACCTGAGACAAAGTCTCAAGTGACCTATTGCGATTGCCTTTTGTCCGTCGTCGTCCGTCGTGCGTCCGTAAACAATTTACATTTTCGACTTCTTCTCCAAAACCCCTGAACCAATTTCAATCAAATTTTGCAGGGACCTTCCATGGACAAAGGTCAACAAAAAAAAGTGGTCGGTTTAGTTCCAAGCCACCAGGGGCCTGAGGGGCGGGGCCAAAAAGGGCCAAATTGGCTAAAATTTCAAAAATCTTCTTCTCCAAAACCCCTGAACCAATTTCAATCAAATTTTGCAGGGACCTTCCATGGAAAAAGGTCAACAAAAAAAAGTGGTCGGTTTAGTTCCAAGCCACCAGGGGCCTGAGGGGCGGGGCCAAAAAGGGGCAAATTGACTAAAATTTCAAAAATCTTCTACTCAAGACCCAGATATAGTAGAATCAAATACTCTTCATATATGGAAGGGTCTTAAGGTGCTTTACCAAAATTGTGAATTTATTGACCCCTGGGTCTTACGTTTCCCCCTGGGGAGGGGGTAAACCTTACTATAGTTTATGTAGGGTAATCACATTTTGGACCAACATTTGATTAATTTCCATTGGAAGTAATTCAATTTGGGTTAGCATTATCAGTATTAGGTAGCAGTTTGCTAGTATGCACATACTGACCCCCAGGGGCTAATGGGTGGGGCCAAAAAGGCTCGAATTTACTGAAATTTCAAAAATCTTCTTCTCAATACCCAGATATGGTAGAATCAATTGCTCTTCATAGATGGAAGGGTCTTAAGGTTAATGACCCTAGGGTCTCACGTTTACCCCCTGGGGAAGGAGGGGGGTGGGGGAGGGAGGNCAAAGGAGTCAGTGTGCTAAAATTTCTTCATTTCCCTTGTTTAGAATCGGAGGTGCTAGTTTCAAATACTTCGAATAAGGTGGTTTTATTGTTTTTTTGTCACTTTGAATAATATTTCTGTTCATGTTAAAAACAAAATCAACTCTCTGTATAAATATATCAGGTGACCGTTAAGGCCCATGGGCCTCTTGTTTCATTAAAAATTCATTATTCCCACCATTCTTTACTATGAAGCATTGATACCATATTTCAATCGAATAATCATAAATAAATACAGTTCATTGCTACTGAAATCAACTTACAAGCACTTTACATCTTAACCAGACAGCAAAAGCCAAAATCGTTAGCTTGAGATTGTAAAATATTTTGACACTCGATCCCAAAGAGGGTGAAGTACCAACAACCCAAGGTTGATTATAAAAGCCGACTTAAATATTGATTAAACAGTATAATACGTATATAAATACCATCATTGTGAGAAAAAATCTGTTGCAATTTCAATAGTTGTCGTTAAATCGTAGTCTTAAATATTAGTGTGTGGTCTCTGCTCGAGTGGTAGATTTAGTTTGATAACCACGATATTGAGAAGGTGATATTGATCACGTGACTGCCCGAACGTGTCCTGTCTTCAAGTACAAAAGTAACAAAGAACGTATGGATATACTTATTGTTGGTCTTTTAATTAAGATTAATTCCATTCCACCTGGAGGGCAGTCTCTACAGAGCCATGTCACTGTATCCCTTTTCCACTTCTGGCACTACTTGCTGACTGGAGAAAATATTGTTAATATTCCCCTAACTGTGACCTTGACCTTCCCTTAGTTAGGATAATATTACTGCCGACAGATGCCTTATACCGTAAATCGTTACAGTAAATATTTACATAAACGAAACGTAATATAAATATTGATTTTTCTTTAGGAAAAAATATCCATAATATTGACTTTTTCTTGAGAATCAAATCAAGATCGTCATAATTATTCAATGGATTCGTTTAAACACAAACGTTTTTTCTCTCACTAAAACCTTGACCTAATGGCCATTTATGACATTTATCAATAATTGAATCAAACTTGACCTAGGTTGACAATATAACTATTTGTTAGACATAGATTGTTGGTCTGTATCCACCAATCTGATACAGACGACGGTGTGTCTATCCATGCCTCAGACTCGGGGGGGNGCACATATCTGCCATTCCATCATATAACGTTTGTCAAAGATCAAAGGCCAAGTATAGTATGTGAATGTTATTTTGATTTAACGTAATTCATCTTTATATTTAAGGATGTATTGATTTGAACCCCAGTTTGGATGCAACCAATGACAGGTTTAGGAAAACCTGATATAGTTGATTCAAATAATATTTATATATTGACTAAAAATATCACTACTCTCTAAGCACCGCGGCCTGCCTTTTGTGTAGTGTTTTTTTTGTGTGTGTCGTAAACGAAATCATCAAAGTGAATTTGGATACAGTTTAGTGAAATAAGAAACAAAATACAAGAAAATTTTGTTTATGAAGGCAATCAGTCACTTACCGGTTTTCGAAATTTACCTAAAGACCGGTTTGGAAGTAAATCTTTTCGCGTCGCGACAATTCCTGTACTACTTGTGTGTGCGTCGTAATCATAACTGTACGATTTCCTTTCTCGTAATGCTAATTCCTGTTCTTAGATCTTTCCGATAATGACTTCCCTATTTTGAGAATATCGACAGATGTAAGTTTGTGAATGAGTTCTTCCTGACAGCAATCTGGTACTCGAAGCATCCTAATTAGAACTTCCTTTACGATTTCTCTTAATGACTTTCTGTAATCCGCGAACTACATCCTACCTAACATTGATTTGAATCGGACCCGATCACCGATACCCTGAGCTGAGAACGCCGAGTCGTGGTGCAATTGCCTTATATTCATTTAGCCGACCATGATTGTCCGTTGATTTTCATAATATTATGCTGTCGGTCCCACCTCGTCAGTGAAATCCTTGTAATTAGCAGGGAATGTGGACTTGTTCATTTAATCAACGTCGTTGCCTAGGTCTCCAGTTTTATATCTTCCTGGAGATTTCTGTTAAATCAACTGTCAATACTATGGAATGCGCATGCCTTAATCGTAGTATGCTAATTGCTTTAAAAAAGAACGCAGATATGTGTCTCTGATATTTTTTTTATTTTTTTTTCCATTATGATCAGTTACTTATTTGTCGTGCTGCTGCAGATTTGACATATAGCGTCATGTGTTTTTAATATATGATGGATACTCCCTTGTATCTTTTTGTTTGTGTATGCATTTTGTATTTTGAAAAGCGCTGGATATCTAATGTTACCCACTTTCCGCACTGCACCGTGAACAAAGAAATGTGCGGTTGTGATAAAATCGTGTTTCATATCCTTATCTTATATACATTAGTACTAGTTCTCTGCTTATAATGTATCTAAGTAGCTTTAGAACTAATTTCATCTTATCCAAACAGTACGATAATTGACAAACAGGTGATTCTGACGCGACCCTTACGCTACATTGACTATTGTTGACCGCGAGGTTCAGAGCTTTTAACAGCATTTGCACAACACTGCCCTTGTGTATTTGAAGTCCTGGACGCAAATCCCAGAGGCAATTCTTGCCAGACGTCTCAATACGATCTGTTTAATTCTCGGGTTGTCCTTAAAGAAGTCTTACGTTTGCAATTTTTATTCTGAATGAATTCTTAAAAATGACTTAGACTGTAGCATACATCTGTATGTAAAACTGTTTTTAAGGCGGTCCTCTTCTGTAAGAAACCTTGTTTTTATGAAAGCAATACTGTATATAATATTTTGAAGAAAGTAAGTACAGTTTATATATGTCTAACAAACCAGCATTATTGTATATATGTCTATTAAACAAGCATCATTGTTTTTTCTGTAGATTGATGTACTCAATACTTCCGGAGTCTGTTGCTCACGAGCTTCGTCACCAACGCCCAGTCCCCGCCAAGAAGTTTGAAAAGGTTACCATCTTGTTTAGCGGTATCAAAGGCTTCAACGAGTTTTGCGCCCAACATTCTGATGCGAAAGGAGCCGAGCTTATCGTTCAATTATTGAATATTGTCTATATGAAGTTCGATGACCTGCTAGGAAACAACCCGGATGTGTATAAGGTGATTATACAATGTATATAACGACATTAGAGACAATTGTTAACGATAAGTGCACGTCCGTTGCAAGTAGGACGTAATAATTGTACCTGCTGACCCCATTGCATGATCGTAAGAGGCGACTTTTCTCTCCTTTCAAAACAACTTCCTTCTTTCTAATGTCTCCCTTGACAATGCTTCACTTTTGGCCTTTAGTTGAGCCGTCGCCCCTGTGAGGAAGGATTTGGGTTCTGTCCCCTGGCCGAGACATATCAAAGTCTGTAAAAGCGGTAGTTTCTACTCCTGCTTAACGCTCAGCTCTTTAGGAGTGGGACGACTGGTTCGCCCATTGTCAGTATAATGTGACCGGGTGGGGTGTCCTGCTGGGTGTCTTCGGCAGTATGTTTCAGTGAGGTAGCACTATAAAGTCGGCATCAATTCCGCGCTATCACAAGGAGACAAACACGAACATATCGCAGCCTCCTAAAACACACAGGCATACACTACACGCATGCATCTTGCACACATGGGAGGCCGTCCTTAAATGACCATAGCTGTTGATAGTACGTTAAACCATCCTAAACCAAACCAGACCAAACCAAACCGTTGCTATATGTAGAATAACTAACGGCGTCAAAAGCATGATATTAGGAGGCACTCAGGTTTTATCCATTAGCCTGCGGGATAAAAACATTCAATATGCTAATTTTGCTGTTTGGATTTTGTTCGGATCAGTTAGTGATGATCTGCGCTATGTTCTAAGTTTGTATGATTTAAATAATTTGGCCAAGAAGACTCCAAGGAGTCCATTATACTTCCAAACCTGAAAACGGCGTCAAGCTGTTGCGAGTTTTACAGTTTCCATCTATTTCCTGTTGATGCAAATGTACCGCTTCTTAGAATACTGGGGTTTACAACATGGTATTCTTATTGGTATTCATAGATATTCAAATAAGTCAAAACAACAAAGTTGCATTAACTGTATGTAAAGTGTACAACATACAATGCTTCTCGCCTAGGTGGAGACTGTAGGAGACAAATACATGGCGGTGAGTGGTCTTCCGGTGCCTTGCAATGAGCATGCGCTATGTATATCAAGACTGGCGCTGGCTATGATGGATATATCGAAGGATTTAATTGATCCCGACGGAAACAAGATTGTGGTAAGTTGGAATTTTTCATTTTGTGATTCATGATACAAACGCTAGATGTGTGTGTCATTAAGTTGTCTCAGGGAATCAAACAAAAAATTATCGCAAGCAATTCAATAAAACCTGAGATGTTTACCGATCATTTTGTGAGAGCAAATTGAGAATGATGTTCATGGGAAAACTCGATTCGTACACTTTCGTATGGCGTTCATGCAGGAATACATTTATGGTATTTTTAAGATCAATATTGTCAGTTCTTTAAATTGATTTATTGATTTTTCGGGATCATATTGACAATCAACACAGAAATATAGTATAAATAGCTTAAGTTTGATAATAGGTAAACGTATAATGCCAAAATGATAATGGAAATAATACGAGATAGGAAAGAGAAAGGTTGCCGAAAAACCCACCTTTACAATATGAGTAACGATGTTTTTTTCTGCTTAGCATATCTATTAAGCAGCAGGCAATACTAATGATATTCATCTGTGACAAGGCAGCAATTACAATTACGCATAATTGATATGAAGCTCATCTGTACAAAACTCAATTTTTATTTTTGTAGACAACTATCGGTATTCATTCTGGAGAAGTGGTTACTGGAGTTATCGGGAAGCGTATGCCCAGATATTGTTTGTTCGGAAACACTGTGAACCTGACGAGTAGAACGGAAACAACAGGAGATAAGGGCAGAATCAACGTGTCCGAAGACGCTCATAAGTATGTACCTTAGTTCTTTAATACGTTTCATCAAAGATATCATTTATCGAAGTTGTTGGGACTTTAAAAACCCAAGATTTTTTTTTCAGGAAACGCGACATTTTCAATGAAGAAAAGTTTAGATCAATTGGTATGGAACCACAACCCGGTTTTGAAGAAAAGAGTAAATTGATGGGAAATGACAAAAATAAAAAAATATCCACGAATGTAAATAAACGTAGTGCATGATTTAAATAAGACGAAGAGTAGTTACCTTGTGTACAAATTATTTACTTTCATATTCCAGATATTTAACAGAAGACAAAGATTGCTTCGATCCTAGCATAGAGCTGACCTACAAAGGGGAGACGAAAATGAAGGGCAAACCAACACCGATGAAAACCTACTTCCTGTCAAGGAAACAAACAACGTGATGAAATCCCATGTCTTTCCTTGATTTGCATTTCAATTATTTTGTTGAATTGAAAAAAAAATAATTTATCTGAAATAGACACTTGAATTAATATGTCATAAACTAGCAAATAAATTACTAGTAACGGTTTTATGTCACGTGCCCACGTGGTCACTTCATGTCGTAAATATCGCCGTCAAGGTAACCAAGTTATTGAAGTCACTGTATTTACATGTATTTAAAAGGAAATGAACATATCGCTTTTCTTTCTGTCATGATACCCGCATGCCGAGATATCCATCTGATGGTTTCAGTTTAAATGGGACCATGCTCCATGTTGCAAGGCTTTGCTCCATTTGTATCTGTCCTGATAGCGTTGGCTTTGATTAATTATTTAACTTGATCGTTTCCCGTTGTTTTTTCTTAGTTCCAATATAGAAAAGCATTACGTCAAACACAATAGGAGAAGATTCGATCATGTTTGAATGTGTCTCCGGATATTTTCTCAATGTTGTCTTCGCATGGAGATCACGATCTGGTCTTTATAGCATTCTCTCATTACATAAAGGTCTTGTCAAATGCACAAGTTTGTTTCCGTAGGAGCCATACAGGAGAATAGAATTTAGAAGAGGACGTATTTGCCTTATCAAGAAATAATGTCTTTTATCTAAAGTGACACAACAACGTCACAGTACGAAAGGAGAGATCGAGCCAGATTTACGTCAAAATGGATTAGATAAAAGAGCATTGAACAAGTATTTCTGAAAACATCTTCGATTTGCAATAGGCAATGTCACTAGAGTCATATCGGTCCAGAATGTCATTGGATAGGACAACCAATTGTTAAGGTTAGTCTCCAAGCGAAACGTGAGTGTAATGATCTGTCGTATTTTTTTCTGTTCTCTGCTAGGCTTTCCTTCATAAAGGTGTATTGCGAAGCGGATTGTGAAGCGTTTTGCCTTCTTGAAAAACGATAATAGCACTACGGTAAAGTCTGAGCGGAAGAACTTCAAAGTAACTTTATAAAGACACGTGTATTATGTTGATAGGTATATGTATGTATTTCTAATGTGTTAGTTAAAGGTCACGAGAAACGCTTTCGTCAGTGATTTTACAATCACCATTTACATTGTGGTCCAATCATGTTTAGTACAAAGAACCCATATATTCCGAGTCTGTTCAGTTTAACGACAAAGAAGCCGAAACTTTTAAATTTAACTTCTTCCGAAATCATTTAAGTTGAATATTTAAACAATGTGAATAAGTAAACAACGCAGATATATGAACACAACAAAACGTCAGTGTTGTTTTCAGTTTTGATTTTAGACACACCACACGATTTGTAAAATTACAAATAACAATTCTTTCCAGCTAACAAGGATTTGACATTCGGTTTCCGAAACTGAACTTAGAATGTATTACAGAGGTTTAAGTTGTAACTGTATAAATTATGTTAGTGCTTAACTGTGATATCTTTGATTAGTATATATACTCAGTAATACTGGTTTTAGAGGGTCCAACACGTAGTGTTTGCTCATGTTTACACTTTTTATTTATTTGCTTTTTTTACGGTTCATTGACGGAGTTCATAAAGAACCAGGAGGTAGAAGCTTTGGTAAGCGAAAGGGCTAGAAGAAGGACACAGCATTTAATCAATTTGTAATAGAAAGAATATCGAATATCGATACCAATTATTCAGAAAAAAGAATCTTTGATTATTTTGTTTTTGTCACTTTTTTCAAAGAAAAAAAGGAAAAAGAAAAAAACCCCATATAAAAAGACAAAAAGTGTTCTGTTGTAAATGATACCAATAAAACCCGAGGGGTTCCGTATTGTCATGACGGAATTTAAGCAGAAATGTCACTACTAATTATGTATCAATTAGTCATGATACCACGACCCTCTGATTTATTTATTTATGTAAAGATGTCAATGATCATATTAACTTATTTATATCAACTTATTTATCAATTTACTGATACATATCTATATATTTGGAAGACTTATGTTAATAAAATTTGTCAATTGATGATTCAAATTGTTTTTGTAGTGTTGGTTTAGAAATGATGCTGCATTCAAGAGCATCATATTTTTTAAACACATGGATGAGACAAAAACATAATGAAACGTATATGACATAAAAAGATCATAGTTTTGAAAGAGAGATTTGTTGTCAAATTTAAACATATATACAATTAAAGCACAAAAGAAATTACAATGTAAAATAGAAACAGAAATGTAATTCAACGCAACATGAAAATTGCGTAAGCTATTGACATTGATCAACAAGTAAGCTTGACACAAACGGTAAGCACTAAAATGATGACGTAAATCACAAGGAAAATATATGTGTTATTAGCTATTTAGTATTATGAAACTTGTTTAGTAAATAAACCATCGACGCCACGAAATAATACAGGTATTTTAACTTGTTTTCAAATAATTGTTACTTGTAGTTTGCACATATTTATGATATTTCAGTAAATTTCTACAAACGAACGACATTTTGCCGGCTACACCAATATACAAATACGTACAGTAACAATGTATGTTTTTCCGGATTAGTTAAACTATTTTTTTTCTTCTTACCTAGCTGTAAGTTAGTACTAGCATGCTTGGAGGAAATTAAACAGGCTCAAGACTATGCAGACAATTATGTACTTGACTGCGAGAATAAGGAATTACAAGATAAAAAATAAACGTTCAAAAATAACGTTTATTTCCTGATATGTTGTATGTTTCTTTGCGCTTTATGGAATCGTGTCAAGTCAACAACTATCTTAGCTGTTCGGAATAACACACACTATGGAATATCATACACAAAACGATTAAAATAAATCAGCTCTATGGAGTTATTGATACAAGGTTGCAACATATTCAGGGCGCACAATGACGATGGAATGTCAGTGATAACAGATATTGAAAACATGCTTATTATATACCATAGTTTTTGGTAGTCTCTATTTGGATAAAACGTCTTTGAAAAACTATGGTATATGATACAAAATGATCAAGATTATATATCTTGTTATGCCGTCACGTACATAATTTATTATGTAACCGAAAAAGATTTGTTCATTCGTTATCATTTCATTTGATGGAAAACAAACTTTTTTAATAAGAAAAAGTACAGTAGCTGTAATTTATTTATTTTTAAGTATAAAAGAATTTCTGATTCAAAATAACTTTCTGTGTATTTCGTCATCAGTTTTTGTTGTTATTTTTGAGGTTTTAACATATACATATACAAATGCCTGTAAAAAACAAAAGTGTAAGATTGAATTTAAAACCCTATATATAAAGCGATGGCTTTAAGCACATATATAACAAACGATTGTACATGTGTGTCTTATCACACAATGAAGAACTCTATGCCGACTGGCAGTATACCCTTACTTCAGTATGATTGAGTTCGTACTGGCTTAACAGATTTTATAACAATGATTCCAAGCATGTAAAGCCATACTCTTGGAGATGGAAGACTGTAGAATACGGACCCTACATGATTGAAGATCGATCGGGAATGCCGTATGTAGGGCTCCCATCATACACGACCGTTGGGGAGGATGTGCAGGGCGCACTTGGTTGTTGTTGTCAATTGGACTGCCATAAATCACGGCATCTGACACTAGCACATTGGAGCTGTCCCAAAGGACCTCGAGTCTTCGATGCTCCGGGTCGATTGGAGAGGCAACTTTGTTGCTCCTACAATCAAATCGACACATTACAGACAATTCGGTGTAATGCCGATACGTTTTTCTGATTTCGCCTGAAGGCTCAATGTCATTCATGTGCTGGACTTTACTCGCTTACAATTCCTCTGCTATTGTCAGTTTCCGGAAACAGACAACTCCAAACGAATCGTCCGGTTCGATTTCGAACACGATTCTGTAGGATATATTGTATTTGTGCCCGGTAGATGACGGGCTTCATACGGATATTTCCGTAAGGATAGGTACTAGCGCTACGGGACCAATTAAAATGGTCCACCACAATATTAGTTATGTCCGCAGTAGATAATGGTAAATTCACATTACGGAACATGTAAAATAATGCGGAACGAAATACCGAACGAAACTTTTAAAAACTCTCCGTTGCCGTACAATATATTTTCAATGGAGAAAGTTTTAAGGGACCTGAAGTTAAAACTACTAAACCATGACGATCTAGGTATGATATAAACTATGTTTATTTAATAAATAAATAAATAAATAAATAAATAAATAAAGAAAGAAATAACAAAGATCAAGAAGTTATTTCTGAAATTGATATCACTACTTTTCCACCGTTCAAACAAACTAGATATAACAAATTTAATTCATTATTTGAAGATACCAATGAGTTTTCTTTTCGCTCATTTTACTGACCTGTAACACATTTCGTTCACATATACAGAAATAATCCGTGGATGCCCGAAGTTAATTGATGTTTGCAGCTGTAGAAATAGACATTTATAATCAAGGAATACACATATGTACACAAAACTTAAGCTGAAAAAAAAGTAAATACACTGATGAGTATACTAGAATGACAATATACCTTTCTGTTTTACGTTCTTGTTTATACAGATCAAGGTCGGCCGATATGCGATGAATTGACTCAGTAAAATTATATACTTTCGTTCCACGAACTAGCACATATACATTGGATATATTAACTCGAAAACTAGGGTTTTACATACCAATTAAATGCATGGTAACGATTTATAGTATAAAGTGAGCAATAGTTATTAACCGAATTTGGTTGAACGTCGAAACTTCAGTCATAACTCAATGACTGAGACCGTGTCGGCAATCTAATTATTCTCAAACCAAGCTCTTTGACTTCTATTGTTATGTCCTCCGAGGGAATATTTTAAGCGTCCTTGTAATGATAATGACTTAAAGAACACATTCATACCATTCTCCTAAGATCGTTCACCATTTTGAAATTAAAGGTTAAATGACGCGTCCTTGGGTTTATTCCTTGGTGACATCAGTCGTTAAATCAATGCCCAATAGAAAACAATTACGTCTCTCGAATTCTAAATATAAAACGATTAAACTCGTCAGGATGGATTTTATTAACCACTGACCTTGACATTTATGTTTGAGTGTCTTTATAATATGTCCAATAAATGGCACAATACTGTTCTCGAAAGGTTATGAATATAGGTCGTGCTTACCCTGCCTCATATACAGCTGAACCAAATCCGGGTACTCCGGTTTTATCCAACATTAACACCACCTGCGCGCTACTACCCAGACCAATACAAGTGTTTTAAATGCGTTGATAAAACCTGTTTCATAATTGTATTCAAATAAATTCAGTTTATTTAAGAATCGATTATAGACATGCAAATATTGTTTTGTTTATTTCCCCAATAATTTCAATAAATATTTATGATGCCTTTCTGTATTCCAATAACATTTTCAAGATAAATACAAAAAAAAGTTTCTTTGTTCTTTTCATGTTTTTAATAAGTCGACATAGTTTACAAGCAGAGTAAACGTTTCTCTCAACCCATGTGACGCCCTCACGTTGTCTCTTTGAAAATCACGAAAGTTTGTCTGTCATCTAAGAAAGTAAATATGACACTTGAAAATCAAGTTGTGATAACGACCAAATATTTCTAAAGCGTAGATAACAGTTTCTCAGATTGGAAACCTTGGCTACGTAATGTATTGTTTAAGAATCCCTGTCACGCTGCAGGCAAAACACTTTTTGATTACACTAAAGGTTTGCATACATTTGGATAAAACTGAAATTTGGTTTGGTTTTATTTTGTTTAACCTCATATTTACAGCTAAGGTCATTTAAGGACGTGCCCCCGTGTGTGTTTTGTAAGCGTGCATGTGTGTATGTGTGCTACAGACAGGGTATGTCGGTGTACTTGCCTCCTTGTGACAGCGCCGATCTGATGCCGACTTTATAGTGTTCTCTCACTGAAATACCACGCCGAAGGCACCCAGCACATCATTCCGCCTGTCATATTATACTGACAATTGATGAACCAGTCGTTACCAATTCCCTAAATGCTGAACGTTAAGCAGAGAATAACAACTACCATTTAAGGGACTTCGGTATGTCCCGGCCAGGGAACAGAACCCATTACCTTCCTCACATTGGCGAACGTCCAACATTAAAGCCAAAAGTGAGGTAGATAAAAGTAGAGAGAAACATAAAGATCCAAATTATTGCAATGGACGAAGCAGAATTATTTTGGTCGCTTCCATGTCCCTAGGTAGAGGGCACAAACACAAATCCCTAATTCTGCAGGGGGTTCGCTCATTAGTCGCCTCTTTTTGTATAACTTGAGTATAACTGGACAAGGGATCTACTGTACTGCTTGTCAGGAAGCTCGTTTGGTTTGAGTGACAGTGTCTGACCCCATTGTATTTATTACTCTCAGAAAACTGTTGTTGATTTCATAAAAATCCACAAGATTAATTAAAATATATTAATTGTAACTGAGCGAGATCTTGCTATCTCAGTCGAAGGCTAAGATTCTGTGCCATAATCCCAACCTCTGTCTTAGGTGCGAGAAATTTGTGTCCGTATAAACTTTATGAATTTAATTGTCATGAACGTTAACCAATTGTTTTCCAGATTTTGGCACTGCTGCAGAGATATTTGATAGCAGAAGTAGCACTGCCATGTTGACGTCATGCAATATGTTGTTAAGCCTTGCATTAGTATAGTGAGGAAACCAAAGTTAGCAGACACGTTTGTCACAGAACCTGGTAGTGACATGGTCATTATTATCTTCTTAGATATATTTGAAGATATGAAGTTAACGAAAAGGAATATATTGCCACGGTGTCTAAATTCAATTTTATTTTTGGAAAGTAAATGAGATGAAAGAAGTTCCCGAAAACCTTATTATTACAGGAAAAGACCTTACACCGTTTTCTGAAGATGAAAATAGAAGCCCTGACAGGATCTGAAATGTAGCCATTCCATTTTATCACCCAGTTTCTGGGCAATACAATAAACGGTA